AATAGATATGTCAAAAAAAAAAATTAAAACAACCATTGTTCACAAACAAAAGTACACTAGTTCAAGACAAATATTACATAGATTCACTTCCTTTTGGGATCAAAAGGAGCAGAATCAAAAGCATCAACCATATTTGGGTTAGAAGCTGTAACTGGAGGAACTGATGGGCTTGAAGCTGGAGGAACTGAGGAGGTTGAAGCTGGAAGAACTGAGGAGCTTGAAGCTGAAGGATCCCCTTGGTGAGACTTCACCATCTCAGCGAATAAAACCTCAGCATAAGAGAAGGACACCTCCATATATACATCAAAAACATCGGGTCCTTTAATTTATCGCCTGAACCTTGGGTAAAGCTGAACCGGAAGGCCTTTGCACTGGACAGGCGCACGAAGGAGGAATAATGTTCCTGCATCTGTTTCCAGCAGTTGAGCAAGTGTTAACTGCGTCCCTCCATCGAAGGTTCTCAGCTTCCAACTCCTTCACCCAGGCTTCAATAATGGTGTGGTGAAATGAAAGGGAAAATAAGAGATAATAAAAGAAAGAAGGAGGACAAATCTCCATAGCGTTAATGGGGGCAGAAGGAAGCAGCTGCTCTAACCCCATGTTGTCTATTATTTCTTTATCTTCAGGTAGCCACATCCCATGAGCAACTGCTAGTACAGCAGAGGAATCAATGACTACAAAATCTCCAGAGTGGATAACTGATTTGTCAGCCCTGGAGAAGGTTGGCCTCCGAGTTTCCCTTTTATCCGCCAGGACAAAAGCCCGAACCTCCTCTTCAGGCGCCACTTCCTCATCTTTATTTCCTTTGTTCTTTCCAAGATTAATGCCTTTGCCTTTGGCAGAAAAAGGAAGATTCTTCTTAGCTTTCTTCTTTAAAGGAAGTTCATCAACTTCATTCTCTTGCTCAGTCGAGTGCACAACTGCAAGAGGTTTGCTAGCCTTCCTCTTGAGAGTTGTCAAAAGAAGGAAGTGACAAATCCATAAGGTTGGCTGTTAAAGCACTAGACGCAAGCTCCTTCAAATTAGATGAAGAAATGAGGTCCTCTGCAGAAGGGGGATTGTTCCAAACTTGTTCTTTGAGAAATACAAGTCTTTTCCAAGCTACAGAAAATGTGAACGTTACTGAAAAAATACCAAGAAATTCATAAGTATGATGAAAAAGTAAAACTTGACATGGGAAGCAACCAGAACATTTTTTATACAGAGAAGGTAAATCTCTTATACCTAATATCCCAAATTTGCGGGGAATAAGAAGTTTGCTTGATTGAGACATAAACAAATTCCCCCTAACAATAATCATCCTCTCTTTCCATCTCTTCTCGGAAGTGTGGAGGTCTGTACATATGCTCAGTTGAAGAGAGGAAGTAAAATAATAACGGCTAAGCTCGGTCTGATGTTTGGAAATAATATAGGTGATCAGTGAGAGTCAAATCAAAACTCTCCAACCTTCGGCGAACAAGAAGAGTTGACATTATTCGAAAAAAGTTAAGGTTTACTTGAAAAGGAGCAATACCTAACTTCTTGAAGACTAAATGATAAAAGGAATAAAGGGAAAAACGAAGAGCATGAAGGTGCCTAACATGACAAAAGTAATTCATTCTCTCCGACACCCTTACCTGAACTAAAATCAGCATTTTTTTGGTATTCAACAATCTCCACCCCCTTGAGGATCTCGAATTCCTCCATTACGGAATCAATGGTGAACTTGATACGCCAGACAGAAAAAATCATTTCTCTTTCATTTTTTGTGAAAATACTATCTGATCCAGAAATGGATACTTCTGCTTGTGGTAAAGAATCATCCATTCGCACGGCAGAGTCATTCGTAGACTCGAGAGGATTAGAAACCCTAGAAGGAGGAACTCTAAGAAGAACGGGAGATGACGAAGGTGTGGATTCAGAGTCCATAATCTCTATGTGGTCATGGGTGGGTGAAGTGCTCATGATGCGAAATAAAGAAGATAGACGAAGAACTAACCTGATATCACGACGAAGTAATGAAGGCAAGAATAAGCTTTGAAGAAGTCCTTTGGTCAAAATGTCAATGGTCACTTTTTGAACCGCCTCTTGCAAAAATTTGCAACCATGCAAAATCAATTCCCTTCTAATTAGGAGCTGTAGTACAATTTAGGAGGAAATTGGGGACAAAGTGTAGAGGAAAAATTCTCCCTCCAATAAGAATCAACCACGTCATTAAAATAAGGTACAATCCCAATTGTTCTCCAAAAGCCTAATCTTGATCAAGCCCAAATAAAGTTGCTATCGACCCAAGGTTATTAACGTTAACCTCTTGGCCTACTGAAAATTCCTCCAGGCTTACTCACGTCTTAACCTAAGTCCAGTCCAGATTAATCAAAATCTTACCATAATTCCACCATTTTGTTTGAAAAGAATTGTACATGGAATAAATTTTCATAGAGGATAAATACACAATCCTACCATAATTCCACCATTTTTTTTGTATATAAATAGAGGCATAGACTTCCAATAAAGATCATCGAATATTACAAGCTTTTCTTTGAATTATTCTTGTTAATTATTCTTTTATTTTGAGTGAGTTGTATTTATTCTTTTAGCTGTTTTAGTTAAGTAAATTTTTGCACCTACACCAAGTGATCCATAACTCTCTTCATCTACTAATCTAACATATTAATAGTTAACATCTAACCGTTCTTCTCTTGAAAAAAAAAAAAAAAAAAAAAAAAAAAAATCTTCCTTTCCTATTATGGCAAGGAAAATAGTACTATTTATATGGAAGAGGTATCCTTTAGGACACCAAGGGTCTTGTGGTCCAATGATTTTTCATCTACCTCCTAAAATGAATGGTGAGGGTTTAAGTCTCCAAAAGAGCAAAATAAGTGTAATGTGTGAATTTCTTGCCCATAACAAAAATTAAAAAATAAAAAATAAAAATCCTTCAGAACAAGAATAGGATTACAAGGAAGTATTCAAAACACCCTCTCTACATTTGTCAATTTGAGCAAATAAGAACAATTCTTCTATTTGAAGACTGAAATACCTAAAATTCTTTTTAAAATAAGTAAATAAAATAATAATAATTTAATATTATATATATTTTAAAAAGGCATGTTTATAAAATAATAATTTAAATTATTATTATTTTATTTATTTGTCTATAATAGGAAAGAATTTTAGGTATTTCAGTCTTCAATTTGAGCAAATAAGAACAATTCTTATATATATTTATCTATATTTTTAGTTTTTTATTTTTATTTCTTGGATAAAAAAAAAAAAAAAGAAAAAAGAAAAGAAAAAAGAAATACCTAGAATTCCCTTAATGGTATTTGGTCAAAATTGTTGACTAGGTGGCAATTTGCATAAATTTTCAAAATACAAAATATATGCACTTTTACAAAAATAAGGGTATTTCTTATACAATTTTTTATATAATAGGGGGTTTCATTCATTTTACCCTTATATTATTCCAAGAACTAGCTTGTTGTATATGTCTTCGTAACCCAGTAGAATAATTATTCTTTGCATCTATTAATCTAACCTCTAATAGCTTGTTGTATATGTCTCCATAACCCAGTAGAATAATTATTCTTTGCATCTATTAATCTAACTTCTAATATTTCTTATTTTGTAAAAATAAAATAAAATAAAATAAAAAATAAAAAACTAGCTAATTTGGGCCAGACCAAAATTCTTTCCATTGTTATGGACGAGCTTGATGACCGGCCTAACTACCTGGAAGGGAGAAAGGGGTGGGAGAAACAAGTGAATTAGTAGCGAGTACTTAGTTGACCTTCCCAAGGTACAATACGAAGTTGTCATCTCTCTTTCCACTGACATGCAGTATAGCCAGGCCCTTTTGCAACAGTAGCTGACACAGTTTTACCTCCCTGTTTGGATTGGCTTTTAAAAGTGGCTTTTGGTTTTTGAAATCCCTAAAGTCTCTGGTTCTAGAAGAGCGTTTGAGCTTCGGCCTTCTAGTAGCTCGTGGGATTGACTGAGAGGGAGGTGGTGGTGTGTGACGACATATATGGAGGAAGCTTAGGGGATGATAACATATGCGTGGGACACGGACGGTACCAATATCGGTAGAGCCAAAAGAATCACCAACAAAGCCGTTGATTGCGGTTATAAGTTTGAGTTCATGACTGGGCTTCCCATCTTTGGGCCGCTCTAGGGCTTTATTCCCTCTTTGGGTTGCTTGATTTTCCCAAAAAAAAAAAAAACACTAAGCCGTTGATCTCTGATCTTGCAGCCCATAAGTGCAATTCTTCCTCACATCAAGGATGCCACTCTTAATCTTCTTCGAACGTGTTGTCAAGGAGCCGTTGATCTCGGGGTTCATAACATTTTAGTTGAATTTTTGATTGCTCACACATTAGATAACAGTACTTGTTAAAAGGTATATTTATGATTTTCTACCCAGCTCGTGCCTTTCAATTTTCTTGCATTATTAATTAAGTTGTACCTTATTTTACCATATTTCAACATATTGGAAGCAACAGAACATGGGAGATATCTCTTGTACTTCCATGGACATTTTCCTTAGCACAATGCTATTGATCTGCTTTGCTTTGCTTTATAAAACAGTTCTCAAATACTTTTTAACATAGAAAAAAAAAGGAACAATTATTTAGCAAACAAGGAGTAACAGTATTCCCTTTCCTTTCAAGAAAACTCAATGTATTTTCTAAACAAAATCTCCAACATCACGGTTCATTTTGACATACTATGTTGCATTATTTTGACACAACAGCAACACCATAATCACAATTATGTTTGGAGCATCCAATAGATGTTTTGAATTTGGTATTAGACGAATTTTATTTTGAATAAAATTTCATGTGCACCCCTCAACGTCATTCTATTTTACCCTATCAAATTCTTATTATTACTGCTCAAGCTCTTCATGACCAATGGCATTGGAGTATAAAGATGAAGCAAAGAAATGTAAATAAAACTAACATATTCAGCTAATTACTGAGCAAAGAAAATTCAAAAGAGCACACAAAATATCAAAGGCAGGCTGTAAAAAGAAAATGAACAAGCAGATAATATAAAATATCAAACTCATAATTGCTTGCTATTCCTTTTACTTCAATATAGATTTTATAACTATCTTTTCTTTAAATCTCTCTACCGCTATTCTCAAGTCCTCGTCAGGATACGAGGATAAAAAAGTTTGTGGCAACATACCCACTAACGAGTAATAATATAAAATATCAAACTCATAATTGCTTGCTATTCCTTTTACCTCAATATCTATTTTATAACTATCTTTTCTTTAAATCTCCCGCTATTCTCAAGTCCTCATCAGGATAAAAAGGTTTGTGGCAACATACCCACTAAATTCAAAAGCCAATGTTCAGTAAATTCAAGACTGAACAAAGGATTGACGCCATCCACACTCTTCAACTCTTCAATATATTATCTAGCCCTTTCAAACATGTCCGGACAATCCCTGTGTCATGACAAGCAAGGATCATTTTAGGATAAAATAGAGAGGAAAAAATAGTACAATATGATTTGAAAATAAAGTATTCATAATTATTATAATTTAAAAAATAGTGCCGTATGATTTGAAAATAAAGTATCTACATATGATTTTGAGCATAAATCATTAACAAAAAAGATTATTTTTGTTAGTTGAACAATGTGGCACGGGCACCCCCCTACGCTGCAACATTGTTTGACATGTGAGACATCTGGTCTCATTAATGCGGATGACCAGGTTGCATTCCCAAGTAATGCACTAGCAAAAACATCAGTATCAAAACACAAATAAATTACAAATTCATACCCTGTGCTTGAGGACAAAACATATTTAAAATCTGTGAAATGAAAAAACTCATTGTTTGACGAAACATATGTGAAATGAAAAAAGTTTGATGAAACACATGTGAAATGAAAAAAGTTTGATGAAACACATGTGAAATGAAAAAACTCACTATTTGACGAGAAAGAAAATGAAACAAAAAATTAAAACATGAAAAAACAAAACAAAATAGATGTGAAAACAAAAAATGCATGTACTTGAAGACTCGTTTCAACGGTTTGACTCAAAACTTTTTCAAGCAAGGGTCATAGTTCAATTGGCCAAAAAAATAAAATAAAATATGGTTTTATTAATTAATGCAAATGATGTTCCGAATATTTTCAAATACATGAGAAAGAAAATTAATTCAATGCAATATTTTTAATTAACAAAAGAATAATCCTGAAAACATACCATCTTTCATTTGCCAACTCCACCCATTCCCACCACCATGAGCTTTTTTTCTCTTCCCAACAAATAAACCTAGAATTTGGGAGAAAAAAATAATATTTTTGAAATATTGACATTAGTAGTTGAAGTATTTTTCTTAAGATGGTTCATAAAATAAAATAAATTAACAAGCATGTCATTCTAGACCTTAAAACGCCAATTAAGAAGAGCATGGATATCAATGAAAATAACTACCTGACGACTGAGGAGGCATAATGTTGGTTGACCCTTTGATAATGGTTAGAGCCAAAACTTCAATCTAACCCCGAAAAACAAGAAATACTCCACCCAGCTCTCTTTCTCCCTCTTCCACCTCGGCGTGACGGGAGGCAGCTGCAAAGATTAGGGTTTGCAAGAGAATTTTAAACAAAATAAAAAACTAATCTCATATGGTATTGAAAGTGCAAGAGCCCAATTCTAAAATCAAAACAAAATAAAATTTCTGATAGGGTACAGAACAAAAAAACGATGAAAAACAACTCAAAAATAGAGTTCGCCCTAGAATCGCCCTAAACGCCACAACTCTCGTTCGAGAAAAAGAGAGAGAATGTTGGAAAATATGGAGGCAAATGCTTTCAAAACAGATTTTATAAAATAGATGGGTTTGGCTCATAAAGGCAAAAATCCTCAAATAATTCTGTAAAATTAAAGAAGAACACATATAATATATAGGAGTAGAGAACCGACATAACTGAGGTTACAGTTAAGGGAAACAACAGAAATTGGAATATGATTCGGAAATAGTACACATAATCACGTGAATAAGAACACATACTGCGAATAGGTGTGGCTGTTTAAAGATTTCCAAAGAAATACCTTCGATGTGGTCGCCACCGAGCTAGGGTTTCAGATTCGGGTCACAAAAGCAGAGAACAGAGCAAAACCAATGCTTTTGCAGGGAAAATACCTTCGATTTGTGGTCGCGAGCGAAGAACTAGGGTTTTAGATTCGAATCACACAAGCACAAGCAGAGAATAGAGAGAAACAATAGGAAAACCAAATACGTGATGAAAATGGTACGGTTTATGAAAGATTTGCAGAGAAAAATGATAGATCTGTGGTCTAACAACCACGATCTGCGAGAACAGAGAGAAATGAGAGCCACAGATGAGAAATCGCCTCAACCGAGAAGATAGAAATGAGAAATCGCCTCAAATGGGTAGTTTCTGAAATATGAGTTTTAAACCTGTTATGGCCGCTACAGTATTTTTTTTTTTTGGGGCTGCCGTTACAGTAAGTGATCCGAAGTATAAGTTGGATATCAGTTTTTGTGCCCTACAGTGACCATATCACCCCATGCCACCAATTTGGTGATATGGTTTTGGGTCATTATTACTAAAATGTTTTACTACTGTTTAATATTACATCAATCCACTTCAAACGTGGTATGACCCAAAATGCAAAATTCATATACTCAAAGCAATAACAAAACCACCTTCCAAACAGGCCATATATATTCCCAAATGCTTCAACTTTAATTTGATACACGTCCAAGTGTCAACCAGCATCAATTTTTGCTTTTGAAAACTGGGTCTTCTCGTTCGAGAAAAATAGAGAAGATGTTGGGAAATATGGCCCAAATGCTTTCACAATAGATTTTTAGTATCTTATTTTATTATTTTTTTCGTACCTCATTTTGCGAGTCACGTGAGACTTGATGATCGTTCGGAACATTTTTATGATTTTGGGAATGCCGTTTCATTATATTAAGCATGTTAGAAATTACAGGATCAATTTTAAAAATTTTGAAGTCGGGATCAACTTTTTGCTCTGGTACTTATGTCAAAACACCACATCACATGCTCTAAAATACTTTTTATCCTGTCACGTGATCCATAACTTTTCTGATAAGACTTTTTCTTAAAGCTATCACCACCATAAAATTGTTTTTATATAATTCAACGTATAATTTAAGATTTTAACCTAGTATAATGGTAGGTAAATGTAAAGATTCAAAACCGAAGATCCGAACGGGTCCTTAACCGAATCGAGGTCACCTAAGTTAAACACCCCCAAGTCTAGGTCAACACATCGTCATTAAGTCTTAAATTAAACATCAATGAGATTCCGACCAACTTTCCCAAGGCTGGAAACAACTACAAAAAAGAAAGGAAGGAAAGAACACATAAACACCACCATTTCGGTCGACCGAGATGGTGCTTCGGTCGGCCAAAATGGCCTTACGGAGCACAAGAAATTTTCATATGGAGCACAAGAAATTTTCATATGGAGCACAAGAACAACAAAACCATGATATAAATCTACCAAAATTCGATCACGAACTTACCCCTCAAATTACGAACAGAAAATATTCGCCTTCTCTCTCTCAACAATGAAGCACCGACACAGCTCTAACGGTCTGCGTCGCGTCCGGTGTATTTTAATATATCTGACGTTGCCGGACACTGATCGGACACGGCAGGACACTCGGGCAGAAGATACGCTACCAGGAAACTTTCTTTTTCAAATAGACAAGAATCTGATTCCCATGAATCAGCCGGCTAGAGGAAGAAGATGAAGAGAGCCAAGAAGTTGAGAAGGGATCCAAATCAGTGAAACGTTGCTATCATTCATATATATATATATATATACACACACAAATATATCAAAATCCTAAATTGGTTTCATTTTTGTATAGAAATAGAGGGAAGGAGAGAGAAATTGGTTTGATTTTTTTGAATGGTCACAAAGTGTTTATAGATCTGAAATTGTGAAGATAGAGGGAAAGAGAGAATGGTCGGTAGAGCAGAGAGAGTCCAAGAGTGTGTCGGTGGAAAATAGTGATGGGGGAGAGAGTGTTTCCAGTGTACTCCCATCGCCCTAATTTAAGTGTTCCTCGGTCCTAAATTTTGCTTTAGCCGAAATTACATACATACCCTCAATTTCAAATTGAGCACTGTAACAATGGAGGGCAGAATGAACTTTTCAGAGGGGTAGAACCCTCCATGTATTTAATGCTGCGCACCAACTCACGAACTAATCCCTGCAAGCGCGCAGAAAAGATGCACTCCACTGTCGTTAATGGACAATTAGATAGAATACATAGTACTTTATGATGACAATATATATTTTTTAAACTAAAATTTCTTTTTCACGGCGAGCCGAGCTATATCTAAGCTAAATATATAAAACATTCCTAAAAATTAATTTTTGAACACCCTTCTCTTTCACTTTAACTACATAGCTCCTCTAAAATTTTAAAAACGTTATAAATTAGGACTTTATTTAATTGTATTAAATATAAAAAATATTGTTCTTTGACAGACTTTTTTACTATTTTTAACTAAATTTTTAGAGTATTTGAATTTTGTAAACTATTTTTTATAATTTAAATATCGAAAATTTTACATTAACTGAATTTTTTACTATTTTTATTTCAATGGTAAGAATGACATTTTAGTATTTTATGACACCATTAAGAGTCTTTTTCCTAAATCAACTTAGGAGATTTTCAGTTACAATAGGAAATTATATGAAACTATATGCATAATGCAGCTTGATTTGAAATAGTAATTCTACAACAAATCATAAAAAATAGATAACAATTTGCCACGGAATCCCAACCGTGCATACATTATAATGATTTTTAACCTAGGGCAATATACTAGGACTAATCCAAGATTGTTTTTCTATAAAACAATTGTGACATTAATTTGAGAGAAAAAATATATATATATATGGTGAACCAACAGAAAAACCTAAGAGCATATAACATAAGTTCCGCAACAATAATCTATCTAACAAAGAGATGAAGAAGGAAAAATGTTACCTCATAATAGAGGTTATATTGGATCTTGACTGTCGTGCCAATTAATAAAATTTGGAAAATGCAATACTTTTAACTAATTTTGATTTGTGATTTTATTTTGAATTAGGTGTGAGCTTATTTGATTGTGTAGGTGTATTTTAAAAATAATATTTTTAAAAGTAATGCAACGCAAATAATTTTGAGATTATGCCATTAATCTAGGGATGTGTCCATCAACGTGACAATGATGGGGCATTTATTTTTTTTCCATAATTACTTTCAGGGATTTAGTTTTTCCATAATTATTTTAAAAAAAAATCTTTTTTTCATAATTATGTATATGACACATAGATACAAAGAATGAAAGCAATATCAAGCTAGAGCAGGAGATTGTAGGACTGGGAGTCTTCTTTGACTATGGCAATTATGTGAAAGTATATAATACATCAATATTTTGAGATGTTAGAGGAAAACTAAATTAAAAATTAAAAAAATTCGAGTGCTCGCCAATTGAGTTTGGAGGAACTCCTTAATTTGGTGATGGGGACTTGAATTTCAAATTCATCAACAATGAGTTTGAGGAGGATGTAGTGGTAAGATGTAAAGATAGAGAACAAGAATAGTTAAAGATGATTAGTTAACTTTTTTTTGTTTGATAGACATTTCAAACTAAAAAATAAAATAAATTTTTTAAATTTGTTTTAAAAAATAAAATTTTCAATTTAAGCCGTTTGTATGGATAAATTTTTTTTACTTGTAGTCGACAAAACTCAACAAGGGAACATAATACAAACTCAAACCTAGCTAGCTAGCAATTGGAACAACACAACAAGAATACACTTCGTTTTTTTTTTTTTCTTCTTCTTCTTCTTTCTTTCGTTTTTCTTGGTGATTTGAACATTAATCCCCATTGCAGCTAGACATACACCATGTTGGTGGTGTTCTTAGTGATGAGTATGATGTTCATTTAAAAAGGGAAAAAAACTAAAAAATCAAAATGCAGCAAACACATCCATTTTTAGCATTCTTCCAAATAAATTTAAAATCTGATTAATTTTTGTTTTAATATTTATGTTATGTATATTTTGCTGCATTTTGATGTTTTTTTTCTTCTTTTTAATTATTTATTAGGTTATATATAATAATAAAATAAAGTAAAATAAAGGAGGTTGTTTTGAAAAAGAGATTGAATTTAGAGGAGATATGCAGGAAGGCAGACATGGTTGATGAAGCACTTATTAATGCAACGGATTTTTCCAGTTGAAGCTATTTAATAGAGCACTACCTGCTCCTGTGTCTTCTGGGATCATCATTTAAGGCCAACACTGCAAATATTCAACACAAGAACAGAACTTGGACATCACTGGTCCTCCAGTAAAGCAGCACTAGCTACCTCAATGCATCAAATGCACTTGAAATTTAATACTCTTCTGCATTCTCATTTATGCCAATACTGCAAATATTTAAGACCATAACACAACAGAACACAAAATGCACTTCAAAAAACGCATACTTCCAAATAACAATATGCTAAGGAAAGATTGTTTCATCAGATAAAATACAATTACAAGTTTCGATGTCTAACAACAGCTAAAGTTAGCATCAACAAAGTAGCATTTGATTTGAAGAAAGCAAACCTGCAACAAACAAGAAAAAATAGACGATTAATTAGCGATGGAATCTCAACAAAAGTATACATTATAATAATTCTCAACCTAGCGCAAATGGTCAAATAATTTGAAGGATAAGAGGACCTTGAACCAGCAACATCTTGACTTGTAAACTATAAGAATAGCAACTCAACTCAATAAAGCCTTGTCCTAACCATTAGGACTGACTAAATGATCCATATTTCTCCATTCTACTCTAAATGACCATACATAACCTCAATTAGACGACACACTATCATATCTTTGTTTACCATCTTAACACACTCGGGATGCAAGAAATTTTCACTCTCAATTTGGAAAGGGAATCTCTACACTTCAAAGATTTTCCAACTCCTTTTTCCTCTATTTTCAGTCTATTTATAGACTAATACAAATCTTCTAGAAACTTCATAACTAACTCCTTGTGTTGGACAAATCTTCTGGGCTCCTCTTGATTATAGGTCCAATTCCTTTTGGTTGAAACCGGGCTTTCAACCTGATATTCCGGTCTTGGGCCTAACTAATGAAAACAAGGTTCGGAGCGGTTGCTCTTGCCCGACTCGTTCCTTATGATCCGGACCATGTCCGGCCCAGGCCATTTTTGGCATCTTCACATACAAATGTTCATTTTGGCTTTTCCCTTCCTCTGGCACTTATTCTAAGTATTCAAATCTGATTAAATGCAGGCATCAAGTAAGTGACTAACTTGCCGCTATTGCCCCTCTAAACACAACAAGCAAGGCAATTGCCCAGTGTATGAACGCAACTGCAAAAGTAATCACAGTTCACCCCTTGAAGAAGGAAAGACACACCAAAGTAGAGAGTGCGCTCCTATAGTTTTTTGTTTTTTTTTTTTTTTCCTTTTGATATTTTGAGTAAAACCATATTCTTTTTTATTTTTATATTCTTCTAACGAGGTGTAACCATTGAAATGGTTCAAACTGATAAAACTAAATAAAAAGGCTATCTCCCAAGATATTTGTTCTATAAAACAATTGTGACATTAATTTGAGAAAAAAAAAAATGGTGAACCAACAAAAAAAAACTAAGTGCATATAACATAAGTTATGCAACAATAATCTATCTAGATGAATAAGGGAAAATGTTACCTCATAATAGAGGTTATATTGGACCTTGAATTGAATACCACCAATTGTGTAGTAAGATTTGGAAAATGTGATACTTAATTAATTTTGATTTGTAATTTTATTTTGACTTAGATGTCAATTTATTTGGATGTGTTTATGTGTTTTAAAAATAGAGAAGTGATACGTTTTCCGACCTCAATTGCCGACTCATTTTTCAAATACAACGTGGTTGGGAATGAGTCGAAAAGAAAGAGATGTTTACGGGATTTTGTTTTAAGAGTTACCACATTGTATTCGGAGGATAAGTCGACAATTGAAGTCGGAAAATCTATTATTTCTCTTAAAAATAATATGTTTAAGACTAAAAGCTATAAGAAAATGATTTTGAAATTACGTCATTAATCTAAATGGCAGGGATGTATCTATCAACGTGACAATTTCAAAATTATTTTAGGAAAATCTTTTTTTCATAACTATTTATGGACGCACCACGTTCTTAGATACAAAGAATGAAAACAGTATCAAAAGCATGAGATTGTAGCACAGGAAGGCTTCTTTGACAAATGGCAATTACGTGGAAGTATATAATGCATCAATATTTTGTGAAGAAAATCCTACATCCTTCCTTCATGACTAAAACTTCTTTATGTATATGTTTCAAACTTCTAATAATAAAAGGATGAGAAGAAAGAGATAAAAAAATATTTTGAGATGTTGGAGAAAACTTAATTAAAAATTAAAAAAAAAAAAAAAAATTCAAA